AAAAAAAAAAAAAAAGACTGACATGGTCAAAAACTGCCAGAGATGATTTTAAGGTTTGATATTGGGTATTCTGGTATATACAGTGACCTTACAGAATAAAAAGACAAAAACCACTTGAGTGCCCACTATGTGCATGGCCAAGGCCCAGGAGTAAGGGTGATCTGGCCCACTTATCCCACATTCTGATTTACTTAGGCTGGGACTTGCTGTGTTCGCTGGTGAAGGTCACACATGGAGTTCATGGAAGATTTCCCAAATGGTGAATCTATAACTTTCAGTATTTCCATCTGACTCCACTTCTGATTTTCTTCCTTTGATTTGGAAAATGTGGGCCCACAGGGAAACCTTGACAATCCTGCAGGCCTCACATCTGATGCGGCCCAAGCTGTGCAGCCCAAGCTATGCAGCCCACGTTGGTACCCTGCTGGCTGGAGTTACTGCATTTGGGAGATAAACATTCTTTTCATGAAGGGCATAGGCCCCCACCCACAGTGACAAATGGGCTCTACAGTTCATGCATTCCAGAGGAGGCTCTCGCCTTCCAGATGGGAGCACCATCAAATAGGTTGTAGGCGGAGAGGGAAAAGGAAAAATTAAAGCCATTAATATGCTGGAAGGAATAAAGAGAATGGTTCCTTAAGATTGGGTCCCTAGGATATGACTCAGGTTCCTTAAGACAAGGGAAAACCCACTTTCTTTCCCATCCCCTACTGGGCCCAACCTTTTGGCCAAAGGCAGGCAGAGCTCAACCCCCTGACCACAGTGGCTTCACACACATTCTATTGTTTCCTGCCTCCTCACTGAGCCCTTGCCAAATCTGTGGTGCCTCACTAGCGCTATACCTCCGGGAATAAACTCATTTAAAATCAAACAGTGAGCAGTACTAGAAATAACGTTAAATTAAGTATAGGATGGTGCTTCCTGTGACTACATTTTTCATTGTATTTTATTGATTTATTGATATTTATTAATTAAAAACGTGGGACAGCACACGCCAGGGTGTAGAGTTGTGAAGAGATATATCTAAATATATATCCCTTTCTCTCTCTCTCTCTCTCTCTCTCACACACACACACACACACACACACACACACACACACACACACAGACATTCACATCTACTTGCTTCTGAAGCATTGAAAGTACTCACCCTTTAGCCTTGTCTTTATGACTTGCCACCCTGGAGTGGTATTCCTTACCAACACACACATCCATATACATTTATGGGTGTATGTACAATCTGCAGATGTTTTATTTATAAGTGGCCAACTCATCGCAGCATTGAAACATGCATTTACAAATAAATATCTGTTTTATGAAACCCTATTCCTTTGTTTTAATAGCTGAGCTATCCAGCCATACCATAATAATGCACAAGGTAAATGGGTCTCCATCTCTAGAACCTGTTCCAAGTTTTCTCAAACGTGACTAACTGCAAGAATTTCCCAACCATCGAAGAGATCAAAAAAAAAAATAAAGACCAGTTTATTCTAGACACGAAACCTGTACAGTTATAAATTTCAGAGGTTTTAGGGGTGAACTTTAACTTGAAACTATCCAGAAAACTGAGATTTTGCTCCAGGGGAACACAAAGGAGCAAAGTACCTTCCTGAAAAGCATTCATGATGCAAAAAGGAAACATACTGTTATTTTATATTTGGGGATGAAATCTGTATTATGTAGAAGTTTGGGTGCTTAAAGTGTTTAATAGGTTGGAATACAATGGATGAAAACCTCTGAACTGATACCTGTAAAATGTATGTTATTTAAAGAGGTGAAAGAAAATTGGTAGGAATTTGTTTTGACTGCAGTAATCTAAAGACAGGGAATGGTATGCAAAACATTAGAAAGAGTTGACTATAATTATTACTTACTAATGCTCGATCCTAACATTATTCTAACAGCTTGTGCATTGTCAGATCAACAATCTGCACTAAATAAATGACCATTTGGGAATTGTTAGGGAGCATCTCTGTTCCTCTCTCTGCTTGACTAAAAACTGTCATTTGCAATCAAAGAAAGCTGCCTTGGAGCTGAGAACACAGCACCAGCAGCCTTGTAGTTGTCTCTTTCTGAGGAGAGACCAAAGATTCACACTAGCTTGATCTTTTGCAGCCACTTTAATTTCATTTTATGTGAATCTAAGAGGAGTCCATGCCACGTTCAGATATTTCCTGTAGGACTGCACTAAAAACTGAATGCGCTATCTTCTCTGTTACGAATCCTCTGAATTCTGACAGCAAATAAGGAGAAAGAGTGACCTGCATTAAGTTTGTAACCCTTGAGTGAGGCCGATGAAAAGAGTCCTGCATTAAATTTCAAAAAAGTGGTGGGTTTTTAAGAAGTGAAAACTACCATCTGAGGGTATGACCTTCAAAAACACCTACCCAAATAAAATAAGTAATGTTGCCTTTCCAGTGTCCGTGGCTGTTTTAAATTCCATTCACATCTTTATAAAAACATGTTAAACATAATATATAACTGATGAATTCTAATGTAACTAAAAAAATTTACTTACCATCAATTCCTCAGGTGCTGGCCTTTCTTTTGGCTGTTTTCGCATGCTGTGGTAAGGAAAAAAAACTTCATATTATCTATATCACTTGTAAATTTGTGCTATAATTCCCACCATTGACTATTTCTCTTGGAATCTGAATGTTTCCAAAATTCATCATGTTCAATTCTTGGCCAAAGTATTAGCATATATTCCCTTTCTTTTATTTTGGCCTACTTAATCAGATTTCTGGGGACCTTATGAATCACAAATATGAAGTTTTTTTAAAAATTACTTTTTAAAAACCTTTTTACTTGTGTAATACAGATGAAGAATGAATTTAAATTTATTCTAATTTTGCTTTTGAAACTAATGTGAAAAAAAGCATTCTCTTTCTGACTCTTATCAATTTATTTCAAAGTTAAATTTAGGGAATAATATACTTCTTTTTCAGTAAATGGGATAAGACAGTAAGAAAAGAAACATGACTGTCAAGTCAAATGAGAATACATCTCATTCCTTCACTATTACTCCAAATGACAAGTAGTATGTAAAAGAGGTCAGGAATCTAGATAACGCTACAAAATTATAAATGAGTTATAGCACATTATCTTGACTTGCATTTATTTTGGCTACAATGCAAGCTGATAATTCATTGAACAGCTGTAGGATAGCTAAATTTGTTTAAGCTGCTTAAAGAATCACATTCCTCATGCTAAATATTTCTTATCTTCCATGCAATAGGTATAATTAGCAGCTGTAGCATGTACTTAGCTATGTGATGAAACACTCACACAGGGGACCGAGGTGACTGTGGGTAGCTGCCTACTCAAGAGTGTCTGTGGGATGAAGTCATGAAAAGAGATTGCTGCTTCTATCACTTAGCAAATCACGCAGATGCTTATTCTTTATATAAGGCATCCTCTAACAAGCAAGAAGAAAACCCCTCATATAATCTCTGCATTTGCTGACAGTACTTTTTTTTTTTTTTAAATAGAGAGATTTAATGATCATTTGGTAAACAAGAACCATAGTTATGAACCATTAATGACATCGAGGACATTTGCCTTCC